TTAGTATTTAGGGCATATGATAAGCAGAGGAAATGCTTTGTCCTCGTATTTATGCTGCTATTTGGTTAGTTATTTATCTCCTTGGTTTTAAGTCAATGGTAGAGAACAAAGCTTGCAAGCTATTTTATAGACACTTATCTTAGTTTTTGAGAATCTGAACTCAGTAACATCCGTGGCTTTATTGGAAGTTCCTTAAGTAGAAAATTCAATTTCCTTTCTTATGCTTATGGTTACTTCATTAGTATCCAAAATTGAATGAGGCAACCCCAAGCTTGATATTCATTTTAATAAGACATGTAAGGTAGCCTAATCTTATCATATGCAATATTCTCTTTCAATTAAATCCATGCACAGGCAATGCTTTTATAAATGTTTAATGTATTGCTTTTGCTGTGTGTAGGTTAGATAGCTAGCTACTTGTGAGACCAGAAGAAAGGGAAAGAATAGCATAGATGGATGGGAAAAAAGATATTTAAATTGGAATGGATATTGGAATGAATAACGCATAAGTTATATGCTATTATTCCAAGTAGAAAATAAATATAAGATAGAAATTGCCATTACAATACATTAAATTTAAAACCATAAAAGTAAACTGCCAGTGCTTTATTATTAATAGTTAGAGAATTAAAATAACTCTCTCACTGATTCAATATGTGCTACTTCATATATAACTCTCATCCTATACTTCTTGTTCAAGCAGAAGTCATTCTGTGTAGGAAAAAGCATGCATTTTGTGGGAAGGAACATTTGAAATAAATTATTTGTTGAAGGTAGATAGTGTTGACAGCAGCTTGATGTATGACTAATTATCCTTAATTATAATATATAATTTGGAGAGGTGTGAATACTGAAGCATAATTTCCTATAGCTATATAGTATGTAAAGTGTGTCATATGTTATTTTAAATAAAAATGGGCCAAACAAGCTGGTTTTGCCCCTCCTAAAGAGATGTTTTTATTAGTATCTACTTTAATCCATTGCTATACCATTGAGGGCATAGATATCTTCATTGGAAGAGTGTTTCAATAATGCACCCATTGAAAGCAAAGTTCCAAGGCAGGTAGATTCCTTAAAAAAAATTTTATTGGATACATTATATTGGCCCAACTGGTGAAAACTGACTCTGAAAGTTCCCACAATTTTCATCTAATTAAAAGAGAAAGTTTTCCCCCTCTCCCGAAGTCATCAGTCACATGGTTCAATAAAGGTGCTGGCCAGTTGCTTGGTTACTCCACTCCAGTGGTGGGTTTCAAAAATTGTTCCAACCTACTCTGTGGGTATGGCCTCCCTTGTGGGAGTGGCTTGCCGCCCATGTGACCAGAT